CAAAATAGATCCACAGAACTGACAAACACAACTGACCAACAGACTTGGCAGTTCCAACAAAATAGATCCACAGAACTGACAAACACAACTGACCAACAGACTTGGCAGTTCCAACAAAATAGACCCACAGAACTGACAAACAGAACTGACCACCAACAGACTTGGCAGTTCCAACAAAATAGACCCACAGAACTGACAAACAACTGACCACCAACACACTTGGCAGTTCCAACAAAATAGACCCACAGAACTGACAAACACAAGTGACCACCCACAGACTTGTAGTTCCAACAAGATAGAACCACAGAACTGACAAACAGAACTGACCACCAACAGACTTGGCAGTTCCAACAAAATAGACCCACAGAACTGACAAACAACTGACCACCAACACACTTGGCAGTTCCAACAAAATAGACCCACAGAACTGACAAACACAAGTGACCACCCACAGACTTGTAGTTCCAACAAGATAGAACCACAGAACTTACAAACGCATGACCACCAACAACATACACCCACTGGACGGACGGACAGACCATCTCGGCAAGGCAGGGTTGATGAGTTCCCTGAGAGATTTACTCCCCGCCTACCCATAAGTAGAGTTCACTCTTCATCATATCAAACACTGAAATAGAAAATAAGAGCATTAGTGAGCAATAACAGAGGCAAAAAATATAATAGACACAGTGGACTGATGGACATGAGTGACCACCAACAGACTTACCACTTTAACAAACTACAAGCACCTTTACATAGTACACAACTGACCACCAACAAACTTGGCAGTTCCAACAACATAGACCCACAGAACTGACAAACACAACTGACCACCAACAGACTTGGCAGTTCCAACAAAATAGACCCACAGAACTGACAAACACAAGTGACCACCAACAGACTTGGCAGTTCCAACAAAATAGACCCACAGAACTGACAAAAACAATTGACGGACATGAGTGACCACCAACAAATTTGCAGTTCCAACAATATACACCCAATGGACTGACGGACAGACCATCTCGGCAACGCAGGGTCGATGAGTTCCCTGAGGGATTTGCTCCCCGCCTACCCATCTAGTATTATAGTTCACTCTTCACCATCTTTCTACCAGTTTCAACTCCATCTTTTACCATATTTTATATATCGAACACTGAAATAGAAAATATTAGCATTAGAGACCACAAATAGACTTGGCAACAAAGTTCAACTAGTGGACTGACGGACAGGAGTGACCACAAACAGACTTGACTTGTGAAATACACAACCACATGACTGATGGACATGACTGATAGACCATCAACAGGCTTAGCAGTAGAAATGATTCGCCTGATGGACATGAGTGACCACTAACAGGCTTAACAATGGAATTGAAATAAAAGTACACCTACCAATTTCCACCAAGTTTGGCTATATTTCCACCATTTTTTCACCATATTCTACCATAATTTACAATATTTTTACCAATTTTTACCATAATCTACAAAATTAACAATAAGTAAATTAGAGAACACAAATTTATCTGGTATTTAAACAAAAGATACCCATTGGATGAACAAGGCAGGGTCGATTTGAAAAATTATTAAACCTACCAATTCTCCACCAAGTATTTCTATAATGACACCAGATTTCCACCAGTTTTACCAAATTTCCACCAGTTTTACCAAATTTCCACCAGTTTTACCATGTTTCCACCAGTTTTACTATGTTTCCACCAGTTTTACTATGTTTCCACCAGTTTTACCATACTTGTATCATAGTTTCACCATTTTCCATTATACCTCAAAACTTTAACATAATCTACCAAATTACAAAAAGATATAAGTGAATATAAATATAATTAGCAGTAAACAAATACATTCACTAGACTGACGG